CGTGCCTACGAGCCGTGCGCAACAGCCTAACGAAAGTAATGCCGCCACAAGGTGAAGTAGCAGTGTACGATACTAGTCCCGACACACCACCACATCGTGCATAATGATGTACAGCGGCTTTCAACAGTTGCAACGGGCTGGAACAATTAGCACGAGGGGCAGCAAGCGTCCTTACTCTTACTGTTCTGCCAAGACTCCCGATGTTGAGCTGCCCCTTGACTGCAGTTTCCACTTGTACAGGCTTGGTACACCACAACAGTCCAAGCCCGATTTACCTACAGTCTGCAGCTCGTCTTCCAGTCTATCCTGAACTGTTAGCTTACTAGGTAAGAGTCTTCCCCCCTGTCTGCTCACCATTTCTCATACCCGCTACTGCCCCTGGCTCACAAGTGCATACGACTGCAGACTAAACTAGGTTCACCCGAAGTCCGGGTGACAAAACCCACGAATCAGGAGGGATCATGAGGAGTCCGCTGCAGCTTAAAGCCAATGCACAAAACGCTGCCACCAACATCGACGGCTTGCATACTCCAGGTGCGTTTTCTTCCCGTCGGCTTTCCCTATGTCATCCTTTCATTCTCGCTGTACTCAATCTCTTTCTTCTTCCGTTTCTAACAGTCCGTTCGAATCATAATCGGCCTCTCCGTTTAAAGGGTGGAAGCACACTCTGCCCTCCAACTATATGCTCATAGAGGGGCGACTACTCTGTCAAAAGGGGTGAGCAAAAACCGAATGAACYTTCCACCAGAACGTGGAAAGATACATCGCCCCTCTTCTTGGGCGCAGCCTTTAGTCATGCCCCTGCCCAAACAACTAATCCATGGGCAAGGCCGACATTGTCATCACGCTCGGATCGCCTGAAACCCCCAACATGACACTTTACTTCGTTCGTTTCTGCAAAGAATCGGGCGAAATAACGAATTTCTTTCCCGCTATACCCGTTCTTCTCTCACACCTCCACGCAGTCCTTTCTCTTTCTATCTTCTATTCTACTAACTATCTCCTAAAACTAACTCCATGATCCTACTCGCCCGGCCTCAGAACCCCGGCTTCGACCCTCGACTCAACGGAATCGGTCATGATATGACCGAGGTAACAATTCTCTCTTTCTCTCACTCCTCCCTCCGCCATAGCTCATCGCACTGAATTTCTTTACTAACCTCTACTTTACTAATTTTCGTTCTTTCCTGCCGACGGATTCGGGTTCGCGGGGTCTAAAACCCCCTGTCTAACACTTTGTCCCGCCCGATTTCATTGAGAGACGGGCGGGCTACAGAGCTTTAACCCCGCCATAGCTCACCGTAGCTCCCCCCCCCTGCCTCGCACGCACCTGGACGTGGCTCCCGTGCGGGTTCGCTCAGCCCCCTTTTGCTGCCTTGTCGTCCGTTCTTCCTGCGCTGTCGGCTCGTCCCCCGTTCAGCTCGCAATGCTCCGCCCTTCCGCTCGCCGCTGCGCAGCGCTGCCCGTTGCTCTATCTTTCACTCTCTAGGCAGCGCCCGCTTCTCCTTTGCTGCACCCTGCCTGCCTCTCCGCCATCACTCTTCCCACCGCGAATGTACTTGGCAGGGCCCACGTCTAGGTTCAGCCACTCTTATTCGTCACCCCGCCAATCTCGTTTCCCTCGCCATGCCTACCTGCTATCTATCCTGTATGTAGCTAGCGCGTCTCTCACAAAATTGTCTCCTAACTCCCACTACTCCTCTTATCCATCTGCAGCCTCTGCCCCCTTAGCGCCCAGCATGCATCTCACGCTAGCTCGCTCACACTGGTCCACGGTATCTCCGCCCTCGCCGCACACGCACCGGCTTCGGGTCCCGCCCCGATTCGACCCCACTGCGCTGCAGTCTCACAAGCGGGGAGCGGGACTACCCTTTTTGCCTCCGCTACCCAGTGGGGACCTGCGAAACTCTGCCATTGAGCGGTTTGCCTGGCCTCTTAGCAGAAGAATAAGAACCCCGGCCGTTGGCCCTCGCTCTCACTTCATATGTGTTATCCTTGCGCAGAGGCCATGCCATTCTTCTCTGTATCGTTCCAATTTTAACGGATGTCCCGAAGGACTTAGGCTGGCCCGCGCCCCACGGTTACTCAGAGCCTGGTCGTCCCAGGCAGACCAGAATATCTGGTTTCACTCATCAATTCCATCATTTGAATTCGAACATAGGTCTGTATTCCAACAGCTCAGGGGTATACCTACTGAGCTAGGCTCTTGGGTGCCAGCCGCACCCCAGGGCAAAACATGGCACGGCTCCAATCCGGTCACGAAAACAGTTTGTAATTGCACTTCAGGCAACCGCGCGAATACAACACACCCCCACACGCTCCTACCGCAGTCCCGCGTCCTCGGGACGCGACAGATAAACAGATAAGGGAGATAAAGATAAAATAGCAGCAGTGTCGAGGAATAACGGGGCTGCTGGCGCTTCGCCAGCTCCTCGGGTCGGGCCCGCCACCGCGCCCGCCAACAAAACCGAGGGGGATAGCCCTGGCGGCCCTCAACCCCATCGGTTCCTTTTCTCGACGCTCTGCCGCAGTTGCTGCGCCAACGCCCGCTGATCTCGATCCCCGAACCTCCGTAGTAGTAATCTGATGTCGTTACCTATAGGGCTAAACCCAAACCTGGTGTCGGCAGGCTCGAATTTCTAAATAAAGTGGTAGCGCCTGGTGCTCCGGGCCCAGGAATCGCCCTGGGCCACTCTTTGGCCTGCCCCTGCATGCAAGGTCGCCGAAAACCGCCGGCCTACCATCCGCGCCGCGGCTATCCCTGCGCGCCATCCTACCCCGCCCCATTTACCACGCAAGGTCGTATCGCCGCTGTCGATGCCGTCGTCCGGTCAGACGTACCAATCAACAGAAAGTATCTCAAAATCGTGCCTAATCAAAAATAAATAAATATTAATAATATCATTAAACAGAACGACAGATGTCCGCGCCGGATTTATGATCAACAACAGAAAAGAATCACGCGCGCCTTAAACCTGTGCGCCCACGCACTCGCTATTGCGGTCAACCACCCAGTCAAAGCAATTACTGACGCAGTCGCACTTAGCGCGGTATACTTAGACTCTAGACCAAAACTATTTTCTGTCACTTGCAAAAAACAGGGCGGATACCCTTATAAGGGTATTCGCACCGACAGCGGGAGGTGCTGCGGTGCCA